GTGAGAGCTACAGACAAGAGACATACTCGGCTTCTTCTGAAATATAAGGGGTTTAAATACCACATAAGCACAGAAGACAACACAATACTGACTATCCAAAATGTTGACTGTCATTCTTTCCTCCTTGCAGTTCACCTACAATGATGAGACCCTCAGCCCCCAGAGCATGGCCACCCAGCTTGCCTTCATGCGCCTTCTGTCCAACCAGGCTAGCCAGAACATCACCTACCACTGCAAGAACAGCAATGCCTACATGAGTGAGGAGACCGGTAACCTGAAGAAGGCTCTGGTTCTCCAGGGATCCAACGATGTGGAGCTGAGAGCCGAGGGCAACAGCCGCTTCACCTTCTCCGTGCTGGAGGATGGCTGCACTGTGAGTAGCTCTTTGGTCTTCTAATCACTTAAGTTTCACTTAAGAGTTAATAAGTCCTACAGCTGTGTGTTTTTTAAAAAGCATTTTGTCATTATTCTAAACGATTCTCTCCTCCTTTACACCTGCAGAGACACACTGGTGAATGGAGCAAGGCAGTGATTGAGTACAGAACAAATAAACCATCTCGCCTCCCCATCCTCGACATTGCACCTTTGGACATTGGTGGAGCTGATCAGGAGTTTGGATTGGACATTGGCCCAGTTTGTTTCAAATAAATAGACTCATGATAAATTAAACACCAAAAAGAGAGAAAGAACGAAAAAACAAAATCTTTGCCCATCTTTCTGTGTTGTTTTATACTGAATGCTGATTTCCCCCTGCACATCCACTTGCTTAAGATGAGCAACTATCTGAGAGGACTGAACGGACTGAATTGAGCGTTTGTGCAATGCAAATTAATACAGCAACCCAAAGGGACGCGGGAAAACAACTTGTTGTGGGACATCATGTCATCCTTTTGTAAAAAATAAAAGAAGTGTAATAAAGACGCTGAAAGTATGCATCAATTTGTGGTCTTTGTATATCTTCCAAAGAGGAGGTTTAAAACCACAATTTCCATGAAAAAAAGGTTTAAGCTACCTCATGCCTGTACTTAAAGAAAATACTTTTGGCAAAAGCTGGGTCCACAACCGAGATGTTAAGGCTTCAATGCTTCAAGCTTTGTCCTGTTTCGGAAGGTGCTCAGTTACTTGAAGCAGAGATCTATGGTGCTAATATGCAGCTGCGGAGCAAACCACTTTTTACTGTATTACTTTGTATTGACATTTGAGGAGTCTTGCATTGGTCTCCTGATACTCCCCCATTTTAAGCAGGTGGAATGTTCCTAAATCTAATGTCTGGTTTTTGTTTTGTCAAGAAGGTTTTTTTTTGTTTTGGTTTTTGTTCAGGCTTTTTTACTCTTCAATCCCCACACCAAGTGTTCATACTGATAGCACATATTTCATCCAATTCTGAATGGTTTTAGGCGACCTCTCTCTCTTAAAAAATGAAACCACAAAGTCTATTGTACCTATTTTGTATATGTGAGATGTTTAAATAAATTGTGAAAAGTTCTGAAATAAAGCATGTCCAATGTTCCAAAACACACTACTCAGTGACTTAAGTGCTTTCATGTTTTAATGACACCATTGAAGGTTTGTCACTGTATTTTGGTTCTAGTTTGGCTGATGATGACATATCATCATTAATTTAAACATCTTCCTATTGTGGAAGCACAGCCATATTATTTTTTACTTTCCCCCTCTTTATTGCTTTTCAACAGTACATCCAATTTTAATGTACAGAACAATTCTGTTGACACTGTCCATGCCAATGTGTGATTACTAACGTGCATTGTTTCTTGTAAATATGCATCCTATGATGTTGCTTTTCCTTGCTTTTGCATCCAAATAAATTTCTGTGATTTGGATCAAGGCTTGAATTGCAGTGATGAATGCACATGGATATTAGATTCAATAAGGACATGGCTCATGCATTACTGCAGTCATGAATGTTTTTTCACTTTCGTCACAGGCTGAGAGTCAGCATGAGTTCAGTGTGTTGAGGAAACTTGGATATGCAAGCTTAACAAATACTTTTATTTATGCCTCCACATGTACATTAGGAATAGTTCTGTTCAGCCCGAGATACATGGAGAAGCACCAATACTTAAAAAGTCACTTGCAGCACGTTCTATGACCACTAGAGGGCAGTATGGTGGCTTCTTTAGAATCCCTGATCTGTGTGCAATACATTTAGTAAACTGATCAGCAAGACTCGGATGCCACTGACACAAGATGCATACCTGAGCATATTTTTGACCATAAAACAATATTAAATTGATTCAACAAATGATAATAAAAATACAATTTGGCCCTTAACTACTGGCTTTTTAGGACAATTCTAAGATACTTTAACCTTAAACCTAACACTTCCTCTTCATCTAATTTGTCTGACAGCTGAAGTTATTTTGCAGATATATATTTGCATTGCTCTTTTGTAGCTAATAAACGCATCCTTATTTACAGATATACACCATGTGAGCACAGTACAAACAAAATCATACCACAGGATCCTTCTACAAGACACTGTCCCTATGCTGATGTAATAATGTAGGACTTAACATAGTCGCTATTTTACTTATACACATATTCAACTAATTAAATAACATACAACCAACTGTCCCATAGTCAACATGGGGTCAAATGGATGCTGCCTTTGCCCAGTTATCCAACGTACAAAGTTATTACAATCTTAAACAACTAGAAAATTAAGACCTTGATATATAAAAAAAAAGAAATCAGTAATAATAATTTCATAAAAATGTGTATACACTGCATTTCTTCTAGTACAATAAAATAATGCACTTCCGATTCAGACCTGCACCCACAGTCTTTATACAGATGCTTACTGTATACTATTTTCTCAGTGTGATGACCTCTATGCTCTGTGCTTGCTGGTCTTGTTTGATTTTTTTCAGGTGATCGAGATGGAAAGCCTGTTGGGCCACATGAGGCATCACCATCCAACAGTTCCTGCTAACTTTTCCTTTTGTGCCAGCTGGTATTCGGTGCACAGTGACACCCATACAAACATGACTGATAACTGCCTTTCACATTTATTTCAAGCACTCTCCTTGCTCCAACCCAGCAACTCCAGCACATGACCACACTGAAATGATACCCCATCCATTAAAAAAAGTTATGTTTCATCGAAATCAAACTCTAAAAATGACCTAGGTAAAAGTGTTAAAACTATTGCAATTTACAAATCTCAATCCAGTAGATTGCTGTGTTAATTCAAGGGACTGTCCTGGAAATCTATCAAGGCAAACATCCTCAGTTAAAGCTCCAAAATCAACAGCTGCAATATTCTCTGAAACAAGATGCCTTGCCTAACGGTTAAACAGAGCATCCTAACTCACTGTGTTCCGCGAACTCTTAACACGTTCAGCAATACATGATGACAATGTCCTGATATACTAGAACAACCACATTCTTTTACAGCTTTATTTGCATGGGTGTGCATTTAAGTGAAAAGTCAAGTCAAGCAGGTGAAAATGAAGAAAAACATTTCAGGCAGAAAAGAGTATTTAATCATTTGTCAGTTAAGTGGGCTGTATATGATGTCATTTAGCATTTTACCGGTTATATATTATTATGCTGCATTGCTGATGATATAAACAGCACAGGTTATTAATGACTGATTGTACAACACGTGAGCCCCGAAAAGTTTTCAATTTTAAAGAACCAAGCCTAGAAAATCTAAAGCCTTTCACAGTACAACTTTTAAACATAAAAACTGCATTGACTGTAAACTAATCCAGTCAAGCCACACAGTGGATTAAAACATTCTAAATACTATTCAAACACAATAAACGCAGTGTAATGAGACAACTTAAATTATACTACATTTATTTCAAAAATAAATGTCTAATTTAAAATTAAGAACAAACAATGAACTAGGAAAAATATCTGAAAACTACTGCAACTACTGCAATTTAAAAATCTCCATCATCTTGTGTTATTCAAATGACTGCACTGGAACTCAGTCTAGGAAACAGCTTTCTATTATTATAGCCACATCCAAGCTGCAAGATCAGCTATAACTGTATTCTACCACACAATACACTGTTGTACTTTGCTCAGTGGTAAATCATAGGTTATATAACTCATTGGGTACTTACAGGGGTGGAAAGTAATAAGTACATTTACTCAAGTACTGAACTGAATTACATTATTTAGAGACTTACTGTACTTGAGTATTCCAATGTTTTGCTACTTTGTACTTCTACCCCATGCAATTCAGAGGTTAATGTTGTACTTTTACTCCACTACTTTTAATTTAATACCTTTAGTTACCTCTCAAATTTGACTAATTATAACACTTAGGCCTAAATAAGACTTTATTTACACCATGGAGTAATGTTCACAAGCCACACTGCAGAATAACACATCATTAAAACTAGCTGCACTTTTGCAAGATTTGATAAACAAATTAATGCATTCATTATTATAATGTGGGCCGGTCGGAGAAGTCACTAGCTTGATATGCTTTCACTTGAGTAACATTTGCAATGCAGGACTTTTACTAGTAAAATAGCATACCTAAACTCTGGTAGTTCAACTTTGACCTAAATTCAAGATACCTCTTCTACCACCTCTCTGTTCTTTGTAACTCTAAACAGGCTCCGCAAGTAACGCCAGTCCTATCTGTTTATATTTTCCACCTTGCCAAAGTACCTTTACTCAGCTGGGTGACATGCTGTTTGATACTCATGGTACCTGTCTCTGTAATAGAGTTTGTAAACTGTACCCTGTACATTATGTTGTATGTCATCCTTATTGTTGTTCTGTTGTTTTTATGTTACATGTGTAACTAATGTCCTGCAGGTCACCCTTGAAAAAGAGATCTTTTGATCTCAAGGGGCTTTCACCTGGTTAAATAAAGGCTACAAACAAACAAACACACCTCCCTATCACCCGCTAACCAGTGCTTCGCTTCCCTTACGAGGAAGACTACTTCAAACTCTTCCTCTTGCAGAACTTAAACTCCGATACAATATTCTAAACCGACTATAGTTGTTTGTTGGATTATTTCAATAATGTATAGACCTCTATGTACTTGTTTTGATCTGCACCTGCTTTAACCAGCGGGGATGGAGCATAAGGAGGCGGTGTTGTTGAACCCAGCCCCGGCAGATGGTGCACAGGGAGGAGCGCCGCTGTTACACCGCACAGGTGCTTGTTGTCATGGAGGAGCAAAGATGGCGGTCCTGGCCTATAGCCTGGGCAAACGCGAAATAAATCAACATTTCAACATAAAAAATGCCAAATTGATATCGCTGGTACTCGTCAGTTTACTCATCGTGTTCCACACAGCTTCGCGGTACTATGGAGGTAAGTGGTTTATTAAAGTTTCTGTTGATGCAGACAAGAAAACACTTGACATCAGCTAGTGCTAATGCTAGCTAGCTGTTTGTTTCTGCGAGTACTTATCTTGCGGGTCAGTACAGTGCTGTTATACAGTGTTGCGTGTAGAGATGTGACATGTAGGTTACAAGCCTAAGACAATGCAAATAAATTGTGCCATGTATACACTTTAATTCGCCATTGGTCACTTAGCTGCGAAGACTTAAATCGGCTTTGTCTGGTTAGCTTAGCTGGATAAAGCTAACACTGCATTTAGCTGTGTTTACATGCTCCTGTCAAGACACACTTTGTTACTGCTCGAGAAGACATGTGTAGGTTTATGGAGCCAACCATTAACAAAATGGGATATTTCTTTTTAGGATATATTTTCAATTCCGTTAGGTACACACACATATGCACGCTAAACCGTCGATAAAGCCTGTAAGTAATGATGTGTAGTAACGCAAACAAATTGAGTTCCTCAACATTTTTGCGTTGGCTTGGTCGTATAAAGATGTATTTGCTGAATTGATCACAACAGGTTGGATGTCATCGTTCTTGTCACACATCCTACGACTAATGACAGCCCGTGGTTTGGTTATAAATGCATATTTATTGGCTTACACACGCCTCCCATTTGGTTTGCATTGAATGGACTTTGTTCATGTAAAAGGGTAGGAAACTCAGACCACTGCACACACTGATTGCATCTGCTTTTCCTGGCGATGACACTTCATGTCCTCAGATCTCTCCAGCCCCCAGAACCTTAGTTTCGTCTCTTTCTATAGTTTGATTCCGTTGCTGATGATTCCATTCATTGTGCACACAAATTAATAGCTGGAGAGATTTATGGTTGAGCTAAATTGCTGATGGCTTTATATTTGACTATGGCCCCTAGCTGAGCCCTGTATTGTATTCTAGTCTTTTGACAGCACTGAATGAAAAGACAGGGTCTTATTGAGACCGCAGGTTTGAGTCATAGTCACAGAGAAACTATGAGTGAAAGCCAGAGCAGCGTTTTTTTGTTTGGTCTTATTGGGGAGTTCTCTGTTTTTTGCCTTCAGGCGGAGACTCGTGTGAATGGCTGCTCTCCAAAGGACGATACTTGGGGGAGAACGTATGGCAGCCGTATGGCTGCATGATGCACAAATACAAAAGCAAGTGAGTCATTCTAACAATGGTCACAATATGGTTGGTAATTATTATTTGGGTGTGTCTGTCTGTAAGGGTGGATGGGTAATTTCGTCAGAGAAAAGATTGTTGAGTATGAGCAACCCAACACTTGAATGATTGCTATCTGCAGTTGTTATGCCTCACAGTTTTCAGATTCCTCACTGTCATTTTTGTCTTACAGAGAAGCCAACAACTGCCTTGCTCTAAAGCGAGTGGTCTTTGTGGGCGATTCACGGATCAGGCAGCTTTTTTACTCCTTCATCAAAATTATTGACCCTGAGCAAAGAGAAGTTGGAAACAAGGTAATTATGACAAAGAATACCATATAAACCATAAACACTGATCACCATATAAACCCAGCATTTGTATTGTGTTACCAACATTCAGATGCTAAGCACGCCTTTGTGCAAAAAAAGATTCTGAAAACTTTATTAACTTAAAGTATTGGATCAAACCATTATATTCAAGGTACCAACCGAATACTTGTTTGGAAGTGCAGGCAGAGAGTAACACATGTACAAAACTTCAGGGACGTTAATATCAAGTGGTTTGCAAAACATATCCTCAACAAATAATGCAGCATTAGTATGCATGGCAATCACGCAGCAGACGTCACTATTCTATGTCTGGTCTAATGTACTGTAGAGAAAAAGAGGAACTATATTTGCCTAACAGTCTTTCTCTCTGTCTGTCCACATGTCATGTGTGCAGCATGAGGACATTTCCTTTCTACACAAAAGTTCCTCTGTCAATGTGGTAAGCGATTTTTGGATGTGTTTTTTTATCTCTTTTTCTCAGTCTGTAAAATCTTTCTCTGATTCAACATCTACGCCCTCTTTGTGTGTAGGAATTCCTTTGGTATCCAGAGGCAAATAATTCCATGAAGGAGCGCTTGATATCATGGACACACGTAAGTGTAAACGTTAACCGGTACTAAAAGTAGGGAGCATTATTAAACAAGTACGTTTTATTAAACATTGTCTTTGAGTTGTAAAACGAGTTTGATTTTCTAATTCAACTGCTCGTGTTTTGCAGGAAGGTTCATTAAAGCCAGATGTAGTCATCCTTGGAGCTGCAACAGTAAGCTGTATAAATGAGTGATTAGCAATGCTTGCACATTTCACGGCAGACAAAACCAAGGTGGTGTCTGATTTATGTCCATCTTAATCTCTTCCATTAATCCATTCACCACAGTGGTCCATCAAGTTGCGCAGTGGCAGCAGCGAGACACTGCAGCGGTACAAAGTCAACCTGACAGCCATCGCTGTGCACCTGGAGAAGCTGGCTGACCACGGAGAGGTCTACTGGGTTCTACAAGGTAACTTCAGCTTCATTTATGATCTGTCACCTAGGTATTACTGCCTGTTCCCTTTACCACAGTGGTAAGTCTCTGATGTGATTACTCCGTTTAATATAAATGGGATTACCATAGATTGCTGCAGGAATGTGTCCTTAAATCTGGAAGAGTTCTCATTTAATTTCCCTTGTCTGAAACAGGTCAGATATCTGAAACAAGGTCTTGGTTAACACAAGCTTAAGATATTTTTACATTTTGTATTATAACATACAATCTGTCAGTAAATACTTCACTCGTGCATATTGGACTGGCGTTGAAGTAATGCAACCATGGCGTAGTTTGCTTATACGTTTATTTGTAGAGGGAACCATGGCAATGCTCACTTGGGTGTTGACCTAAAATAAAGGTCATCCTATCCTCAGTCTATTAGTGCCTATGATGGAACAAAACATTGAATCTTCGCACTGCAATAAAACACCTCTATCCTTTAGACCCAGTAAATGAGGAGGTGTTGAGTGAAGACAGGAAGATGATCACTAACCAACAGTTGGAGCAGTACAATGAGGCGGCGGCAGACGTGCTAAACCGTAACGGCAGGTCCCGGATCAGGCTGTTGGCTGCGGCCCGTCAGGCTGCACTGGAGACTATCGCCCAGTCAGATGACGGCTTGCACCTGCCTGAAAGCACCAGGAATGTGGTAAGCAGGATTTATTTTTAATTTAAGATTATTTGTTGGCAATTAGAAATACTCAATGGTTCATTTTCAGATGTTGTGACAGCATAGTACTTGCATTTTGTGACTGCTCCAACATGGCCATATGTTATCGAAAGTGAAAAGTAACCTTCCACAAAATGTCATGAAAATTCAGGCCAGTTGTTTCTGTTTTTAATCCAGCTGACAAATAAATAAAACATAATCACTTCGGTGGAGGTAATACATTTAAATTCTGAAATTGCACAATTATACAGAGTACTTTTATTTAAAGATTAAACGATTCACATGAAACCATCAAGCAGTCTGACCTACAACATCATTCAAATACTTACATGTGAATGCATCAATAATACGACTCAATCATTTAGACCATTGTGCTGCCTGCTGTGTTGTTTTAGTTTTTATAATGCAGTTACATTTACTTAATACTTTTAGGCTAAAGAAGACTTTTTAAATAAATGCAGGGATTCTATTTATTTTGGATACTTTTTTTATAGTGTTTTTACTTCAGTAAAGGATCTCAAAACGTTCCCCCCTGTGTAATCTCCTCTCAGGGAGCCATGGTCCTCATGAACTCTATGTGCAACAACAAGCTGCGCCCCATTGACGGTTCCTGCTGCCAGACAGTGCCCCCCCCAACCCTCGTTCAGAAACTGTCAGCCTTCTTCTTCCTCGGCTCGGCCGTGCTCTTCGTCGTCCTCCACGTCCTCGGCAACAACCGTCAACGCCGCCATGTGCCCCCGGACGTGGAGAGCCTGGAGGAGAAGAAGCCGGCGACTGCAGGTGCCGCCCCCGGCCCCAAGGAGCTGTTCAAGGCCCTCGGCAGGATGGGCATCATCATGGGATATTTCTACCTGTGTGACAGGGCAGATGTGTTCATGAAGGAGCAGAAGTTCTACACTCACTCCACGTTCTTCATTCCTCTCGTCTACATCATTGTCCTGGGAGTGTTCTACTACGAGAACAGCAAGGAGGTGAGAGGGTGCTTCTGAGTTCTGTATTCTTTTTGTTTTGGTGAAACAACTTTCAACAAAACACCTTCATCTCAACAATATCCAGTCAGGTGCATTCCCTGTTGTTAATAAATCTGTTGTTTTTTAGAAACCTTACAGAAATGATCTACTAATTGGCAGTTTTATAACGTGTTTTCCTCTATAAGATCTGAGTCTAACGAATCTTTAAAATATGTGTAAAAACATAAGAAAGGCATCTGTGCATTTTTTAAATAGTAGGAATTCGCACAAAAAAAAGGATTTACTTTAGTTGTTACTGTACAGTTACTGTAGTTGGTGGTGATATATACACCAAGTTTAATGATTGATTGTGTTTTTTTACAATTAAATGCTCTTTTTTTTCTTTTTCAAACAGACCAAATTTCTAAACCGAGAGCAAACAGACGAGTGGAAAGGCTGGATGCAGCTGATCATCCTCATCTATCATGTCTCTGGAGCCAGCGCTGTGAGTCTTTAATATACATGAAATGAATACGATTATTTTCAACAATGTATATTCATACTTGACATAAAACAATGGTCTTCTGTCTTCCAGTTCCTCCCAGTGTACATGCATGTGCGGGTGCTGGTGGCAGCGTACCTCTTTCAGACCGGCTATGGACACTTTTCCTTTTTCTGGCTGAAAGGAGATTTTGGATTGTATAGAGTGTGCCAGGTGAGTTTACAGTCGGTAACACTTTAAACAGAGACATTAGCTCGAAACACATTTTATTTTGTATTCAGGTGTGTGACTGCCCTTAGTAAACTTTTTGTACTTAAGCCTGAAATACCATCATATAATTGTTTTCATTAAAAAGCATCATATTATACTATATTATTATTATACTATATTATACAGTGTCCCCCCCCCCCCCCACACACACACACACACACACACACACACACACCAACCAACCAGGGTTTCCGCTAGGATTTTTTCTCGCCGGTCAAATGTCCGGACAGAATTTATTTTACCGAACAAATTTGAAATTTACCGGTCACGTTTCAATAATAAGAATAAGAATTGTGTAGCAGAGTTTCTGTTAGCAGGTAATCACCGGACTATGACCGGATATGCTGATGTTTAAAACTCAGTTAATGGGAGTCATTTTTATATTGCTTCAGTTTATAATCGTAACAGATCGAAAAATTCAGATTCATTTTTCAATAAATGATTCCACAAACATAATTATTACATTCAAACAAACTACTTGTAATAGATGAAGTACATTATTCAAAAGTTTACATTAACTTTGAATAATAACACGGGAGAAACGGACCCTCTCTTTTCCCCTCTCCCTCCCTCTCTCCTGAAAGCCCGTCAGTTTATCATGCAGCGCGCTAAATAGTGGGCGGGGCTAGGTGATTATGCAGCAGCTGATCTGATCTCTCTCTATCGCGTCTGGTTACACTTCACTCGCGTTTATGTCCATATCAATCAGATCCGGCTCTCCTGATCAGCCTTTATAGAGAGCACAGATCAAACTATTAAGAGTGAATATCGGCCGATAATGATCGGCGGCTGATCGATCGGAGCATCCCTAATTATTAGCGGACATTTTGACCGGCAGGTTTTGAATTTACCGGTTTTTATTACATTTTAACAGCTAAAAACCGGTAATTACCGGCTAACGGAAACCCTGACACACACACACACACACACACACACACACACACATACATACATATATAACCAACCTCCCTCATCCAGCACCAGTCACTTTTCTGCCATCTCCGCTGAACACTTTAACATATTATTAACATTTTAAACTGTATACCCCTGTTATCTAGGCCTTTTTTTGTTGTTGTTTGATGTATATATGTCACACTGTAGGACCTCGAGAAACGATATTTCGATATTTCTGGATGTTGTTTAGAGTCGGAGAGGTCCTGATAATTTATTCCGGTAAATTACTCTGACCTACTAATTGACCTGACCGAAGTTATTGAGTCTATAAGGTTGCTGCTTGGCTCAGAACCACCAACGTCAGCAAGATCTCACCCCTACTAACCCCCCGAAGAACCAGGTTCAATTAACTGCTGTTTCAATTCAGACAACTCTTTTTTAATCTGTTTAAGGGATCCCGAAGGATTTTGATATCAGTAAATGGAGTGTGCTCCTACCTAAGTGTGAGTGGCAGGGTGCAGTCTTACCTTTGACGCAGGAGAGCAGAGCACAGATTGACTTTTAAATTATCCCAGTCCAAAAAAGGTGGGATTCAGTTTATTTGAAGAAAAATAGGTCCAAACTAATACAGGGTTTTTACCTTCTCTCTTTACAACATTATAATCATACTAAGAAAATGGTGCTGTGATCATGTTCAAATATGAAACTTTAATTCACAGTCTTACATTTATTACCAAAATGTTTTAATTTCAACTGCCCAATTCAGTTGTGACATTTTAAAATCTCCCGATAGAATTTAGAGGTATTTCCTCATAAAAAGACCGGTGACAATAAAAAGCGCAGTCAACTTTTCATTCACCAAATCAATTCACATCAGTTTCATACCTTTTTTCCGACACAGACGGCGGGTATAACATAAAAAAACACATTCCTATCCGCATTATTTCGGAGGAAGATTCCTCACAGGTGGCGGGTTATAATATTCACAAACACATCTCTCATCAAATCATTCCACTCAGCCAACAACCAAGAAATTCGAGAGATATTTACCACGTGTGTGAGGACCTTACCGAGAACTATTAACCCAGCTCTGAAGGACACAGCCTACCGGGAGAGAGTCTACCAGGGGAAACCCCCCTCTCTCTCGCGCTCTCTCAAAAAACCAGTCTCTTTATGCTCAAAAAACCGGATCCAAACCCCAAAAAAACAAACTCCTCCTCTACACCCAATTTGTGGAAAACTGGGCATGGCCTCTAATGTACAGGGCTGGACATGACCCGACATGTTCCATAGTTTATGGCATAAGACACACCTTCCTATGTTAGTGTAAAAAGGACTTGACCCCTTTTTGAGGCCTCTAATGTGTTTCTCCTTAAGCCTGGAGCCCCCCTCCCTGTGAACTGCTGTCACAGGAGAGGGAGAAAACGGCCCACTCTCTTATCAGAGACACCCATAAATCATAGACCTTACACACTCAACCTAAACAAACCACTTTGTTTTGTTTATACTGTAACTATAGAAAAACCTAAAATATGAAGCATTTTCATTGTGGGTTATACAAAAATATAATTGATTATATTTGATTATAACTAACTTTCGTTTTAAATATTAAACATACTATGAAAACTCACAACACCCTCTTTTCAAAACGCAAAGTTATCAAATAGCAACAGAAAAAATTGTAAGCATACATACATATTCCAAAAACCGTCAAGAAGCATTCTCATTATGGGTTTATACTAGAATATGATTGATCATATTTGATTTATAATTAACTTTCGTTTTTAAGTATTCACTTCATACTATGATCTCAACAATGTACAACATGTAGAATTCTTGACAATAAAGCTGACTTTGAAAAAATGATTGATAACAAACAGTTATTTGGTATGGACCATTATCTCTGATGCTAAGATTGATCTCTTAATGTTTTCATGTTCATTTCGCTACAGGTCCTTTTCCGTCTCAACTTCCTGGTCTTGGTGCTGTGCGTGGTGATGAACAGACCCTACCAGTTTTATTATTTCGTCCCATTGGTCACCTTCTGGTTTGCCGTTATCTACGCCACAATGGCCCTGTGGCCTCAGATTCTCCAGAAGAAGGCTAACGGTAGGTGTCAGAATTGATGCAGCTTTAAAAAACTGTTGCTTTTATTGTTGCACTCAATTGCATGGGAGAAAGTCCTAGACTATGTCCGTCATTACACATTCATATTTCTACTCAATAAATGAGATGCCTGTCAAACACGGCAGCTGGAGGGTTGCATTTAAAACAACTGTTTTGCCAATTACTGTTTTGTTTTCTGAACAGGCAGTGGTTTTTGGCACCTTGGGATCTTGGCAAAGTTACTGGGTCTCCTGATAGTTATCTGCATCTTTGCCTTTTCCCAGGTACGTGAATTCAAAACATATTTTAATCCCACCTGTAAGAATTGCAACCTCACTTTAGTTTCAAATTTGTATAAAACTCCCAAAAAGCTGAATAACAATATATTGCAGGTTTTATATTCATTTCATTTCAATACTGTAGGTATGTCTTTAAACATCACAGTTAAATGTATAGCATTATTTAAATTACAATAATGCTGTGATAGATTACATTTATGACTTTTAGCCTAAATGAAGCAAACTAGATGACTGTTTTATCATTTGTGAATATGTCTGGATTTAATTAAATAAAGGTTTCTATTTTTAAAGCAATTCCTAACCCTAACTGTTGGGGAATAATTTCCCCTGCATGTCATCTTTTCGCCCTCTGACGCAGATGCCCAGCCTTGGGCAGCCGTTATCTCCCTTAAGGAGGGGCTGCCCTAGCATATTGTTGATGTTACCAGTTTATGACCGGGCAACTCTCGGTCAGAGATAGTTATCGTTATGGGACACCTGGAACACATCCTTCTCGGGGTGTAGATGACCCCGAGCCATAAGCGACAACAACTGTGATTCAGTGTCCTCAGCTGTTTAGTCTATGTATTGAAGAATGTTGATTATTCAAATTCAAATTCAAAACCTTTATTTATCCAGGTAAAATCCCATTGAGATCAATGATCTCTTTTTCAAGGGAGACCTGCAGATATACACTCTGAACTAGTTAAAACCTGGAGCTACAGGAGGGTTCTTCAGAATTGATTGTGGCATCTCAACCGTGTGGTCAAACTGTGGCCCGTGACATGTCTTGTGAATTCTCCGGCCAAAGCTCCAAATAAACAATCAGTGTTTGCCATCAAAGCTCCAGCTCTCCTCGTGTCTCTCTGACGGCCCGCCCACACGGCGCCGTGCGTTGTAGCTTCAACGCTTCTGCCCATTCACTTTGCCGAACTGCATTGTGGGAGTGTCGCTTCGCTTTGCTCGCTTCAAAAGTTGAGCAATGTTCAACTTTTGAAGCTTCGACGGAAGCGTCTGCCAATCAAATCATATGCCAGTACAAGCTCTAGCCAATCAACCGCGTGCTTGTGTGTCCGGGGCGGGAGATTCATGTGATTGGTTGTTGGTCGAGCTTCAGACACGCCCACCAGCAAGCTTCAACGCACGCCGCCGTGTGGACGCTGCGTGAGTCCTGACTCCAATTCAGGGTGTCCGCGGGGTCTTAAAAAGTATTAAAAGTTGATAAATCAATTTAGCGAAATTTAAGGCTATTAAAAAGTATTAAACCACATTTTCCAAGGTATTACATTTTGTAGCTTGTTTTCAATAAGTATATAAATTGTCCAAAGAGGTTGTATTCTACAGTCTGCCTGAATGTAATCATTGCGTAGGTGTGTAGTGTGATTCTGTAGTTTATTTATGGTATCCCGTTGGATTTGACGTCATCTGAAGAGGACATCGCACATCTGCTTGATAGCGCGCGAAGGTCCGTTTACGCCGGTTGTTAAACAACATCGTTATGGGGAAATGCAAGTTTGCGTCCAAATGGTTGGAAGATAAGGAGGAAGGACGATCAATACTGTATATAGTAAATGTGAGGTAAAGTGTGTCGTCAATGTAACCGGTTAGAACTCCAAGTGTCGATGAGGACTTAAAATGTATGGGAAGGGTCTTAAAAAAGGTCTTAAAAGGTCTCACATTTGACTTCAGGATTCCTGCATATACCCTGCAATTGCTTCAGAAGTTTCCTCCACACTAACCCATAGTGTTTACATGATTTGTTCCTTGTTTGAAGCCCTGCCTATTTAATATTCATGCATTGGTGTCCAGGGTTTCTTCGAGCACATCTTCGCGGTGTGGCCGATCTCCACGCTCTTTGAGCTGAACGGGAGCGTCCACGAGTGGTGGTTCAGATGGAAGCTGGACCGATTTGTAAGTCAAATGCTTTTTGGCTCCAGTTGCTCCCGTTATTAGTACTCAGTGTTTACGTTAACACATTCTTAGAACTATAAAACGTTGCAGATTATAAAAAGCTTGGAACCGAACTTTGTAGAAATTGGTTTTGATGTTTGTTTTGCAGGTGGTGATACACGGCATGTTGTTCGCCTTCCTCTACCTGGTGCTTCAGAAGCGCATGGTGCTGTTTGAGGGCAAAGGAGACGCTCTCTTCTCTCCCAAGATCTCCAACGTGCTCCTCTTCCTCTCTGTCGTCTCCTTCATTGTAAGACTCTTCACAGTACTGAGGTTTAGATTCATTATTCCAGTTTGCTGTCACCTTATCCGTCTTGCAGCTCTATTTTCTTATGGAAAATGATCTTAGTTGATAAACAACGGCACTTTAGAAGATAATGGTAACACAGGGAGGGTCAGTTACTGTTAGGGAAATGAGTCCGAACACCCCTAACGTTTAAATGAAAGTTTTACCAATAACTAGACCTTTTTAAGACAAATATAATACGTACGTTTAATTGAAAGAGCATGCTGGGCTACAGGTGTTTGTTTTTAACATCAATATTTGAGCATCATGTACGAATGAATAGAACCAACTAGTATATCTGTTGCCAAACTACTTCAACCACTGTTTTGTTGAAGCTGTTAATTGAAACATGTTTACCTAACTTCTCCTTTCCCCTTATTTTTCTAGACTTACTCCATATGGGCCAGCAGCTGCAAAACCAAAACCGAGTGCAACGAGATGCATCCTTACATCTCTGTGGTGCAGGTAGATTCTTTTATCCGTCCTATTTTCGTGTCAGAGGTATGTTTTGATGTTCTGTAATTATTAAACCAATGTTTGTCTTGAGAAATATTTCATTGTCACATTACAGGATTAAATGACTGCAACAACAAGGGAGCTGCCTTAATTCATTGCTAAAGATAGTTCTGGCACTACCACTGGGGACACTGGTGAAGTTGTGCAATAGATAACTTCATTAAGAACCCTGAAACTTGACGTAGCGATTGTGAATCACTGTTACTTGAGTGTTATAGGACTCTGTATCAGAACGCCGCTGCTCGTGTCCTCACTAACATTAAAAGAGTGGATCACCTCAGTCCGGTTCTGAAATCTTTACATTGGCTTCCAGTCGGCCAAAGAATTGATTTTAAAATACTATTGCTAGTTTTTAAATCATTACATGGTTTAGGACCAAAGTATATTGTTGAACTCCTACATCATTACAAACCATCACCTGAGGCACCAGGTCTTCTGGGACGGGTCTGCTATCGGTTCCGAGAGTAAAAACAAAACATGGAGAGGCAGCATTTAGCTCTTATGCCCCGACAATCTGGAACAAACTGCCCAAATCATGCACGTCTGCAGAAACTCTTACTATTTTTAAATCGAGACTGAAAACATATCTCTTTGGCTGCTTTTAATTGAGCTGCTCATATTCGCACTGCAGCATGCCATTTAAACATGTATTGTATACCTATTTTATTATCTTTGCTTTTTAATGCCTGTTGTAAAATGCCATTTTATATATATATATATATATGTGTGTTTTTACTGTATTTATTCCTAAAAAGTATTTTAATTTGTTTTGTAAAGCACTTTGAATTGTCGCTTGCTGAAAAGTGCTATATAAATAAACTTGCCTTGGATGAGAATGTCATACAAATTGTGTCCTTTCTCTTCTCACAGATTTTGGCCTTCATTCTCATCAGGAACATTCCTGGCTACGCCCGCTCTGTATATAGCTCTTTCTTTGCGTGGTTTGGCAAGATCTCCTTAGAGGTAGGTCATATATTACTGCGACTAAGCTGCCAGATCTAGGGATAAATATATTGATAAACCTTATATATATAGCACAAGACAAATTAAAATGGGTAGACAAGCAATGATGGAACAGATACAGATACAACACAGTGACGCGTCCTAAAACCCGGAAGTAAGTTAGCATTTAACCACTTCCGGTTCCTTCGACAAAAACCAATGCAATTTCTCCATAGGATTTTGGAAAATAGCTCGAAATCAGGTCTGTGGTTGACACACATTGAAGAGACAGATCACGTTTTGTTCAGCCAGATAATATCCAACTTTTATAATTTTCTAATCATAAATCTAATTGATAGATTTATAATCGATAGATTTATGATTAGAAAATTATAAAAGTAGTTGGAGCTATTTTCCAAAATCCTATGGAGAAATTGCATTGGTTTTTGTCGAAGGAACCGGAGGGAGTTTACTTCCGGGTTTTAGGACGCGTCACTGTGGCACTCTATAGAGAAAAAGTTAAATAAAAGAGTTTAATAATCAATGTAATCCAATATCAGAGGCCTTTGCACACAACAAGGTGATAACATGGTATTACAACATAATAAAATGTGCTTTATATAGTGCTACATAACAAATCTGCTATTACACAAGGGTACGGTAAAGCAATAAAAGAAATGAGCAATCTGTAATTCTGCTAAGATAAGGTGCCAGTGATAAAATGTGGAAGCAGAACCAATAAAACACTGGACTTTATTTCTTATAAGCTCTTTGTGTGTGATGCTCTGTAGCTCCCTGGAGGCCGCCAAGTGAAACTACACACATTTATATTCCTCACTTTTCATTCTGTTTGTCTCCCCCAGCTGTTCATATGCCAGTACCACATCTGGCTGGCCGCCGACACCAAGGGCATTCTGGTCCTGATCCCCGGAAACCCTTCGCTGAACATCCTGGTCAGCACCTTCATCTTCGTTTGCGTGGCTCATGAGATTTCCCTCATCACCAACGACCTGGCCCAGGTGATCATCCCCAAAGACAACGTGGCCCTGCTGAAGCGGCTGGGGGCCGTGGGGGTCTTCACTCTGGGAGTCTTGCTGCTGTCCCGGGGCAGCCACAACACACACGGCGCCTGATGGTAACATGTCTTGATGGTGAGGGGCAGGGGAAGACTCGCCAAGCCCCTTTTTGAGGTTGAAGGGAGGTCCAGTCCCCAGACAGGAGCCGGCCCGGTGTTATAGCTTACCGAGGGCCACAGGAAGGGACCTCAGTTGTATTAAATGACAACACAGGGGCCCGTGGGAGGACGGGGGTCTGAGCAGAGAACTTTATGACTGCTGTGAAAGTCGCACACTGAATAATAAAAAAAGAGGAAAAATGCGGGGAAAAACAAACGTAACAAAGAAAGAAAAAAAAATACACAACGTTTACATTATTTGGATTTATGAGAAGAACAGCGGAGGAAATTGATGTGGGATTTTATGTAAAACAAAAAGAGGTCTTCTCATTCAAGACCTCGTGCTTGCCTTGTGAATCTTTTGCAGCGTTGCTCCTATTTAGCCAAACACACTAATACGAAGTTTAATTTGTCACTTACAATACTTCCTATTATTACTCCACTCTGGAAGCCATCACTAGGCACAAACTCCGTCCATTTGGCCGTAGCAGTTGAAGATGTTTTCACTCAGGAGGATCCATAATCTACTTATTCAGATATCTAAATTGTTACAACGTGCTGATTTCCATGATCAACTTTGTACAGTACTTCTGTTGACTTTAAAACAGTGTTAGATATCTGAATATGCAAACTATGGACCAGCAGCTCACTTGTTTGATCAAAAAACAGTCGAACTTTGGAGTGCAATTGTTAAAATGTTGAATAATCCCTCGACATATTTTTGCTAATGTCTTCGTGATTTTTGAAATGTTCGCCTTGTGATGAAAGGTGCCGTGTCACTGCTGTGTCTCTGAAATTCTATGTGATATGTACAGTATTTAATGATTTTAAATTAAGCGTATATTTTATACAGGTTTTTTTCTTTCTTTTGGGCTTTGTTTTATGTTGTACTCATGACTGCTGTTTGTGAAGGAAGTATTACATGAGTCATTTTTGTACCCATCCCAGCATCTGGTAGATGATCACTTGCCTCAGAGACGCATTGCGGAGGTCGAGCCTTTACAGTCTAATACCCGTCTGTCCTATCAGCTCGCTTCATAGTCTGTGTATATTTGTATGATAGAGTGAAAGACTTTATTTTATACAGCAATGCTTTAGCAGTGTTTTTAGTTTGATTGCCGTTTACAAACATGCCTCTTAGCTCTGGTGGAAAATGTACCGCCTTGCACATATACAATAGGAAATCTAAGTATAAATCCTCCATGTGCGGGCACAGCCGGTGAATTCTTAATCAGTGAGTGAAAAAGTGCTTTTCTTAGACTCAATGCATCCAAACCTCTCAGAGGCTTTAACAAGAGTACATCTAGCCTGTGATCGTCCGCCTGTTAAACTCTGCATCACTGCCACATGCCAACATCTAAAAAAACAACTCCTTTGACTGAGCTTAGAAGGCATATTACAAACAAATACTGTATATTTTGACAAATGGGTTATGTGGCTTTGCCTATATATCCTCAGACATTTACTCAAAGAGATGATCACTTTTATTTGAAGACCTGCATTTTCTTTTCAGCTTAGCAGTGAACTCCAATGCATAATGAGTTTAACAAGGTAATATGTGCAGAAATGTTATGTACTTGAGCACATTTTTTATTGGGTAAATGATAGGTTTAAAAAAAAAAAAAAAAGTATAGTGTTGTACAATCCAAGCTGTGTTGCTTATGAATTTTGAGTTTCATGTTTCGTCTACCATGAGGTCGTAAAGGGTTGCTTAGTTAATTGCTTTCTACACATTTATATAGATACCTTTTTTAAAGGAAAAATATGGGTCCACATAGAATTCATTTCTTCTTTAAAGTGGAGCAATTTGTTGATTTTTGGGGCGTCTGGTAATTTATCTAACAATGTGCAGGTTCCGTTGTGTTCTTAAACGGAATAAGATTGAAGTAAATGTGTAGTTTCTATAACCAGTCATCACCTCACAGTTCAAAGGGAATGGCATTTCCATGTTGCAATTTCGGTTATGGCGCGAAGTTCACTGATGTTTCCTCGTCTATTACTGATCAACAGCTATACATTTGGTAATTGTTTCAGGCCTTATCAGATCTTTCTGTCGAGTAAAAGCAACAACTATTTATACCCATGTGCAGCAGGGCCTCTTGAGATATGTTACATGTTAAACATTTTGTGATGTCTTAAAAAGGTGAAACGTATCCATATTATTTATAAATGCCTTTATTCTGTTGTACATTGTTAAAAATACCTTCATAAAATGTGTTTTTTTTTCGACAAAATATACCGTTTGTGTAAGTCCTCATTACTAGTGTCTTGTTTATTATTGGGACAACAGATGAAACCAGTAAAGACAAATGATTTCAAAGGATTTATTGTTATCATGTGACACATTTATAACACCTGACAACTAAAGCATTTCTATGTAAAACTCCCTTTTCCTCTGAGAGGTCCATTGTGCAAAGCAAGTCTTAATCAAACATAGTCTTAACATTTACAAATACATTATTTCAAAATATTAAAATGTACTTTAGAAATCGCTACGCTATTTTGATCTGTCACACCCACTCCTCAAAGTGTAAGTGCATTTGGACGATAAAGACACTTCTGGGGCATGCAGATTGGCACAAATGTTAGAAGGAAAAAAAAGATGTATATGAAATCAAACACCGTTGTCTCTGGTCACAAATTCAGTGCTTCGGCCACCTTTCTCTCCTCAGGAATACCATTTACCTGGAAAGAATACAGATTGGCTTTATACCACTTTATTGGCTAACGAACAGTCACGTTTATTTAAAGAAAGCTGTTAGTCTTTTTAAGCAGAAGAGATGAGCTGAAAAAACAGACTGCAGCACCTACCTCCAGCCTTCGAAATGTTGACATGACATAATTATCTCCTTTGTTAGCAGTGAACAGAGAGAGCAGCAGGTTAGTGAGAGGTCTGTCATGCAGCTGAACACCGTGCACACAGGAGGGCGCTCACACTCCAAATGTTCCGATTTCTCAGCGCCACGACACGAGGAAAAGCTCTCAAGCCTGATTTCTTACAGAGCCGTAGCAAAAAAATGTTTTGCTCTTAATAATCCATGTCCAAATGAATAAAGTCTGGATGCTTGTATTTTAACACGGATGCAGGCGAGAGAGAGTCTAAGGTCAGATAAGAGAAACAGCTAAGTAACCACAAACTCCAAAGACTGCATTTATATTATTGGTGTTACCTTATCCAATGTAAAAGACGTCAGAACACCCAAATGTAAACTAGTTAAACACTTGTTCTGAATTATTAGTTATTTATTATTATGAACTATTAAATATTACCATAGCATGTTACAGATGGAGTGAGGCATATTTCTTTCTCTACAAAGGTTGTTACTAACCTGATGGCCGTTGCTGTGGTATCGTAATCTGGTTTTGCAGATTCCTGAAATTATAACAACGACATTGTGATCAACAGACAGACATTCCCATACAGCACAAGAGCCTTTAGTATCATGTGCTGTACTTATATTAGCACATTTTTCAAGCCCATTAGGAAATATCATGGGACAGCTTGAACCTCTTAAACTCTAGTCGTATTTTCTAAAGGCCTGCTGCAGCTTTAGCTGTAAACAAGGCACTGTGAGAGGCACAGAAAACGATTAGACAATAATGGTATTGTTTTTACTTAAATATTCCCCCTATATAACGACTTGCATAAGCCATACATCTGCGTGAATGCTAATAAGCATAGGTGTGCATAGTTTATTCATTCACATGCATTTCCCTCCAGACAAACCAAATCCTCCTTTAACTCACGTCTGCGTCTGCATGAGGGGCATGCTGGTGGTCTCATAGTTGTCGGGGTGGAGGGGCGGCACCACCTCGCCGCTCACTGGGTTGAAGACGGGCAGGGTGGAGAGGGGCCAGGAGATCTCCCGGTTCTTAGACATGCTCCGCAGCTCCTTGGAGGACTTCTGGATGGAGTTGTGGTGAACCAGCTGGATGCTGGAGAGGGGAGAGGCAGTGGAGTTTACATGTGTTGTAGCTTGTGTTGTTGGTGTCATCTGAAACCCATTTAAAGTATGTTGATATGCAATCAATTTGAATCTGCTATGGGGAGCTCTGCACTCAACTTATGCATGCGCAACAGCAATACAACCTCCCTTACCTCCTAACTTCTCTGACCTCAAAATATGTTCTTAGTCTTCAAGATGTAGGTTTTTTAAAAGCTATTGCTACTGAATTACTATTCATTTTGAGCAGCCAGTTGGATGAAAGGATGTCAACACACAGATGAGCACATGAATGGTCATGAGGAAGCGTTCAATGACAACATAGATGACAAAGCTGCAAACCAAAGAGACATAGAGTGGGGGACGGACACAGATCCAAAATAAAGAAAAACACAGGAGACTTAAAACACTTACTCTGGTGTTTGCATGTTTCTTTTTTCCCTAGAAACAAAACAAAATGGATGAATTAAATACTAATATTGATATTTAAAGAGACATCGACACACAAGTGAATGGACGCTTGGGTAAAGAAAGAGTGGAAATGGTGATGGGGGCGTGGAACATTGAGGGGGAACGTCTCTCCCGGCCTGTAAATGATGGAGAATGATGACAGGATTTATCGTGGATGAATGGCTATCGATGTCATGGCTCTGCTTCAAAACATCAAGATGTACATGATGGAAATAACAAAAAGCTGCGACAGATATTCATGGAGAACTTAATAGAAAATGATGGTTATGACAAGCTGCAATTCTAGTCCAGATTATTGCTTTTATCTAAATGTCCTACTATATGCATCCTGTTTTTCCATTTGATTATCATATAGCTCTTTTGAACCGTTTCTGTGCTTTCCCCAAATGTTTGTCGGAGTGTCTGGTGCATAAAAGAAGACCAAGCACACTTACAACCCTTCCCGACGGCAGCACATAGTGTAGCCGAGGATGAAGAGGAGGACTACTGCCACGGCGGAGGGAACAGCCAGCGTGATAAGGAAGTCTGAAAAGTAGTTCCGGCTCATCAGAGTCTCAGAGGGGGGGTCGTACAACCCAAATTCAGGCAGGATCCCGTTGCCCGGCTCGGGACGGGTTATATATACCGGGAATACTCTGTTGATGTCAACCTGAAGAAATAAGGTGAAGTTAATTCAGCATTTCCCTCGGGCCTCTTTAAATTCAGGGAAATCTGTCCAATCCTCACCAGAGAGATCTTACACCAGTCAATGTCAAACTGAGCTCTGAACTTCTTGTCACAGCTGATGGAGGGCTCCATCTCCTGACTGCAGCGCTGCTGGTTGTGGGGGCTCTCCACCTCCCGCAGGCAGGACGAGAAGGCCACATCAGCACCAACCATCACATACACTCTGGGGAGGAGACAGGGAAATACAAAGCGTGAGAGGAGAAGATGGAGTGTCGTTTTACATCATTATGCTGGCTTGATATAGTCAAATCATTTCTCCTCCACTGAGCGCTCTTATATATGCTTTCATCTTCTTAAACCGTCAGCATGAATTTTTGTTGCACAACTTATGGCAATTCATGTGGGCTATTCCCCTCTGAACACACACTGACAGTATCTGTCAGCGCTGATGGCAAGTGTACTCATCTAATTCACAGAGAACTGTGGATCCCCAGGGCCGCAATTAAATAAAACAAGTATGTTTTGAGTGGGCGGAAAATATAACAAATATGTTTGATCGAGAGATGTGAAGAGGTGGAGAAACCTAATGCTTACTGTATGTAATCAAGAGGTATTATACCTAAAAGCACTAATCCTGCACTTTTACAATGAAAACGTAATGCAAAGTGCTATAAAATGAGCCTTGAAAGAAAATCGTATCTAGCCGTTCCTGCATCAGCTTTATTCCAGTATTAAAAACTTGAATACAGGTCCAGCCAAACCCTAAAAACCCTCACCCTTCCTTGAGGTTGTTGATGGGCAGGGGCACGCGGCCCCCTCGGTCTAGTGCCGAGGTGATGTTGATGGCGTTGAGGCGGTCAGGCTGCCAGATGTTCTTCACCGCTCCCAGAAAGTCCCCCAGCACCTCACTGGCCAGCATCTCCTCCACGTTCATGTTTTTGATGTAAAACTCCGCCTGGTAGGGCAGGGGGAACTCTGTGCATAGAGATGAAGAAGAAGAGAGTCTCAGAGAAAAGGGTGATTAAGGTGAATGGTAGTGAGACGACGGAGAGAGAAGACAGGAGGGCAACAAAAACTACAAGGTGTTCTGCTGACTAAGACATCATAAATACTTAATGACTGCTGCTTAGATGAGACGGATTTCACCCGCAGACGCTGGTGTGTCTGCTACACTGTGCATACGATTTGGCTTCCGTCTGGGGCCAGATGGCACATGACATCACAGAAAAGGAGGAGTGATTTCACGTTAGCGGCGCGAACATCTGCTTAGCGTTCAACCAATTCAGATCCTATTGTGTACTGCATGTAGCGCGACCGGTCAACCAGCCGTGGTGCAACAAAACAGATGTTGGGTGCAGCCACACGGGCCAAAAAGAAACGGCTGTTGACTATAGCCGTACCGTAATGACAATTGTTAATGTTGCACCATAGCAGGACTGTGTGTTTAAAGAATCCACAATATATAATACTGGTTAATTATAACCAACTTATGGTTATTTATATATATCTATTTCAAATATTCTTGCCACAAGGTCTAAGGCAGACTTAGGGAATTGTACTGTTTCGATGGAACACATGAGTTGATCAATACTACAGTATATGTTGTTTTTCTTGAAAAATGATTGATTAGTTCTTGTTGACAAAAGTAATCAAAGGCCACATTTTCTCCTCGGGGAAGATTCTAGCACTGAGTGTGCCCTGAGGATTTAATCAGAGGAGTTGCACAGTCTGATCTGTGTTTGCTCTAAGCCCCCCTGCTGGCGCCTCTTACCTTCTGTGCCCATGATGTTTATGACCAAGTTGTGCCGTGCCGTCTCGAAAGTGCGTCGGTTGTAGGCTGTAATCTGCGACACACAGGGTTGAACGTTTAAACCCAGATCAGTGCAGCTTATATGGCAGCCGCCCTGTGGACGAAGCTGAGCTAGAGACCCTATGCAGGCTCTGTACCCAACTGAGACCCTCGTATAGAGGCACATGTGCCACTAGGAACGCTAAGCCTTTTGGGAAAATAATTTCTACAGTAGCTTATGGGGGACAAAGAAAGCATAAGAAAACATAAAGGAATTTATGTTAAAGACTCAAAGCGCAACATTGCACTTTTCTACTGCTAAATCGGCTGTGCTTAGTCAAAATAAATTCAATTTGTTCCTACTCAATTACCTTTATGTATGTGCCTTGCCTACAAATGTGTGATACTGTCTTACATTTCAAAGTCAAATTCTTCAAATGTAATGCTTTCGAGTTGTGAAAACACTTTTCCTCCCTTCACATATAAAACAGAAACACAAATCCCTCCATCTTTTCTCTTTTTCACTTTGAAAGAGCTCCACCGTCCCACCTCTATGACGGAGGGCCTGCCGGCGTGCTCTGCGGTGGGGGAGCCGTACAGAACCCCGTCGCTGTGCTGCGTGCGCTGGATGTAGCGCAACCAGCCCGGCCTGTCGGGGTAGCCCTTCAGGTTGGTATTGAAAGTGATCGGGTCACTGCTGGCTTCACCTGAAGGCAGAGCAGTTTAATGAGGGGTGACCCAGGGCTCTGTTATGGGTCACCGGCAATTCAGTAATGTACATTTAGACCCATTAGCTGAAATCCGGTTGCCAGAGTAAGCATTTTCTACTAGTGAAATGTGATGAATGGACAGTACAGTGCTGCATTCATACACTGACTGTGCCAACAATTAGACTGTACAAATGTTTTAGTCATTAAGATGTTTAAAAGTGTCAAAACTAATAATCTGTGTAGAATGTGATGGTGTTATACCTGCTTTTGGGTAGGGAGGAAACTCTCCTTTAAAATACTCTCTCTCCAGAACGTGGACGAACAGCACTCCTGCAGATGGGTAGACGTTACGGTCTGCATGCGATCTCGACAAGATGCTGACCACTGAAATGTAGATTTCAAAATAGAAAATAAATTAGCTTCGGAAAGAAGAACGTTTACTTTTTTCTGTGTTTTGTTCATCGTTAATGATCTGCAAGAAGCACTAATTAGAAAATAAGTGTAGGCGTTAATAGAAGTGAAAACAGTCGAAGCAAATATTTGGGTTACTAGCACCTGCCAAACCACTTCACACTTTGAGAAGCGATTCTGCTCAATGATAGATTTGTCTTCTTTTCTTGCCTTGCTTCTGCATTGTCTTTTATGTAAATGCATCCACTTTACACAGGGATGCAGTACAAGTGTGAAAGGTGTAAACCCAAATTATTAGGTGCTGGAAAGACTATGATTTTGTACAAATTGCTAATCCAGAACAATAAATCTCAGGGCCAAAAAGGTACTGTGAGAAAAAGCAGCAGTAATGAGAGTCATTCAAAATGAACGGAGTTGTTTTTATGCCCGCCTCCCACTCTGTCTCCATTATGCTCTCTGTTCAGCCCCACTCTATTTCAAGCACTAACATTTAGTCTTTATTCGTGAAGGGCATCTCTAGTAAAATGGCAGCCCCTTTACAATATGTACACAATGTAAGACTGGAGGTTATTTGAAAAGCCCTCTTTCCCTTTTACAATTTCCTTTTATTTTGAATACTTGTTTTTTTTTAACCACCAAGCAGCGTTTTTGTGCAGCATTTCTGTCTTCTCATTTTTATTCCCCCCTTTCTTTCCCTCAGTGGGTGGGCACTCCATTTTTTAATCACCATGGGAGATTGAGTGTACGAGGAAAACGAGAAGAAAGAATGAGTAGACAAAATGGCAAGAGGAGGGGAGGAAATATGGAGATCTGTGCTACAGTTTGAATTGCAAGCAAAGTGAAAGAGAATTTGAACTTTGCTCGCCTGCAGACATAACTCCAGTCACATAAAGCAAATGCAAGAAGAGATGGGAAAGCTATGCGTGCCTTCCCACAGAAACATATTGTAGATGTATCTCCTGCTTCATCTTCTGAATTAGCATCAACCCACCATATTCTACATAACTGTCATCAGCACCCTCACATAAAGTAGGGCCTCTTCTGTGAGCCCTCTCCTTCTACAGAGGTGGGTTTCGAAGGAGAGTCTCGTCTGAACAGAGTAATAGAGCAGGATTTACATCTTAATCCGTCTCCGTGAAAGAGGAAGTCAGTATGTGATCTTTGGTTGTTCAGCGTTATCTATTACCAGGGTGCACAAAGGGGTTATAAAAGATTAGGTGACACAGTAAACTGCAGATTATTAAGGAAGTCCACATCTACAAAGCCAAATTGCCTAACTGCAATCTACGAGCACAGATCAGCTGAAGTTATAAAACAGTCCTGTGTGTATGTTGAACTGTGCTACATCTGTGTGGCTTTAAACAGAGAATATAACTTCTAACATCTATCTGATATCCCAGAGGGCTCCGTCACAGTAAGATACAATCAATAGCATTTAGAGGCCAATACATGCGGTGTTACTTAGAGAAACCTGAGGTTATAAAACCCACCACACCTCTTTCTAAAACCAGATTGAGGGAACCACCTGAGCATGACTAATCCAGACCATATCTCCCTGCTACTCCTGCACACGTGGCATTAGGATCTAGTTTATTCAAAGACCAAGAGTAAAACCTCATTCAGTTTCAGCGCACCACTGCACGGTGACTTAAGTCGATCCCACTCTGAATGCACACGCTCGGATTATATCACCCGACGCATTGGGCCTCATCAATTCTTCCCCGCACAAAGGACCAGTCACACACTCCCAGTCAAGGTCAAGTACCAGCTATTCTGTTCTGCTCAGAGACCAACTGGACGCGGTGTAAACATTTGTGGCACGTCCACAGATGAGACATACAAGAGAGCCCAGATGGCCTGGTCTCACCTAATGGTCTCAGGAATAGGAAATGACCTATGGGATTTGAAATGTGTTTTGGCCTATCAATATTAAAGCTCCGATTGAACAACAAGCGTTTAGATCTAACACAAGCCGGCAGCCCAGTGTTAGCCAGTCTCACTTACAGGATCCTATTGGACTGTGGTTTACCATCAGCTACAACTGCAGTATTTACCATCCATTAAGATCAGTAACTAAGCTACACTGAGGCTCTGCTAATCAGATCTGCTTAATTGTAGTGGGCTTGCGCTGTGCCAAGCCTTCTCGAGATAATGGACTACAACACTCCTAGTAAACATAATACATTACTCATTAAAGGTTAATACTCTCGACTGAAGACTAACCTGTTAGCTCTCGATGAAGAAGAAATGTAAAGAAAGACAAGACACTACAAACTACATATCCCTGTTAAGTGGGATCACATACAAACTAGCATGTGAGTAATATCTATACATTGCACATCATTCTGATAAACTGACACACTTTCACTTATTAGTAGATAACTGCCTTGTGGGGAGGAGTAAACCAGGTTTTTTCTTTCTTTTCTGGGCTGACCTTGGACCGGCTGACGTCCTAGGAGTGACGCCTTAGTTACGAACACCATTGGCAGCGTAAGGCAATAAACCATCATTGTCCTTTCAATGGCTTTAGCAAACTGAGGACTCAAGCTAGCCGAGGAAGTGGCAAAGAAGGGATGTCCTTTAGTTTTGTTGAATCAGCTTCATATTCGCACGTTGTCTTGGTCAGGAGGTGTTTAGCAGGAGAGCACATACAACAAGGATTGCTACTGTTTGGACCAGTTTTGGTTTTCTGCACATTATGACTTTGAGCTTTGTTCTTAACACAGACCTGGAAGTGAAAGTAGTCTGTGTCACAACAAGCAGAAGGATGTTGCTTAGGACTAGAGTCGACATGTAACAGCCAGTTTAATCTTCGAGCGCTCTATAAAGGTAAGCAAATCACTGACTTTTCCAAAAAGCGTAAATGAGTTAATTACTAGTATCAGGTTAAATAGAAGATATACTTTACCTTTGTCTCAAAGTTAATGATTCAGGGTCAACTCTACTTTTAGCGAGGACAAGGTTTAGACATTTTAATTCAGTAAAGTGTTACAGCAAAAGTGGGCCAAGTCTGTGGGACAGCGGACAACTGAAAACAATAATGCCAGTATTATTTGGAAACCAGTTGAGCGTGTCACTGTGTTATGACGGGGGAGGGGACAGAAGGTCAACACGTGAAGTGCAACACTGCACACACCCACTCACCATCTCTGTCCAGGGCTGTTCTCTGCTTCAAGCCGGATAGCTCCTTATGGGCATTTCTCTCATGAAAAGTGTCATGTTTGACATCATAGGCATGCACAATGAAAACTATTGGATCAATGAATAAAAGCATCAATGGTACAAGTTTGTATACACATTATGTTTGTTGCCAGTTTATTAAGTACAACAGCCTTGCTACAAAATGAGTATTATAGTCAGCTATAAAGGTAGTACTCAGAAACCAAAAGCTTCTAAAATGTGAGGATATTGTGCTTTTCTTTGTGAAATGAAAGTTTAAAAAAAAGTAAAGTAGGGTCAAAGAACATCAACATATTACCTGATGATTAAATCATTTGTTAGTTGTACCACAAGATAAAATGATATACAATTGTCTTTCTGTTGTTTTTGTAATAGTAGGATGATTTTGTAATTGTAAATGGACGTTAAATGATGGTATGAATCCATTTGACAATATTAATGACTCTACCATTATAAACTTCATAAAGGTTATAGTTTTTGCAAGGCTGTTGTATTAGTGGATTAGTTTAATTGTACATAACAAACTACTAATTTAGATCATTGCCTACAACAAATGTGTATTCCCAGGTGATTATGGGTAATTTAAAATGTTAATTTAGCATAGCTACCTAATTAGGCATTCATATGACACCTGGTCGTCTATGAACACAGGCCTGCACCAAGGGAAACAGGCTGTCTCTCAAAGGTAATTACAGCTGAATAAAACACAACACAGCGTATGACGTTATACAAATCTTCTACTTCAAAACACATTTTTTAAAGTATATTTTGTAGGAACTCCAGCTGTATAACGGTACAGCAGTCTGCTGTTAGCCATTTTTTATGTCTCCTCCTCTGCCTCTTGGAAAAAATGAGCACAGTAGCTAAACAGGGGCATGCTAACTAGCTAGCTAGCTAACTAGCATGGATGCCGCATCAAAGGCAAAACGACTGAAAATCCCCGGATATTTCAGAGTTTTTAATCGATACGTACCCGAACCAAGCCATACCGCGACAGCTGCAGCGGACATGGTGCCTACCATCGTCGTTAATCTGACATGAAAAAGGATGTTTTATCTAATCGCCACTGGGTTTGACAGCCATAATAATAAGCATCCTGCAGCATTCCTTCCTCCGCCTCCTTTCTTCTCTGGAAACAGAGAGGCTCCTCATTGGCTCAACATCTGGATGGAAAAAGATGGTTGTCTCGTAAAGTAAAATAAGCAAAACCACGATGTGAGTCAGAACATGAGCGACACGCCTGTAGTAGATGTTTCTGTGGATGTTACTCAAGTAACATACTGAATTGTACTGTGACTTCCTTTTATATAAGTAGTGGCTGATGAATGGCTGCTTTTCAGAGGTGTAAAGTAACTAGCCTACTGCCTAAGTACATTTACTCAAGCACTGTACTTACACTGTACACTACACTGTAGGCTACTGTACTGTAATTTTGAGAGACTTGCAGTTTACTTGAGTATTTCCATTTTTTGCTACTTTCTACTTCCACCCCACTACAATTCTGCTGCACCTTTACCTGATTTGATAAAACTTAAATGCATCAATATTTATAATCAAAACATATGATAGTATTCTGAAATGTGCATAATGAGTACTTCTACTTTCGTACTTTAATTATATTTTGATTAAAATACTTTTTAACTTTTCAACTTGGTAAATACAGGACTTTTACTTGCAACAGAGCATTCCTACAATCTAGTATTTCTACGTTTACTGAAATATCTGAGTACTTCTCCCACCTTTGTCTTGGACAACACATATTTGTCATTTCATATAGGCCTAATGTAATTTCCTGAAAGCTTATTTCTTAATTGTTAGCTGAATTCAGTCATTTAGAAGCTTCACTGAATGCTTTTTTATTTATCATTTTGGATGATTTCTTGATAAGGCCGCTAAAATTTGGATCAGGAGTTGTCAAACAGACGTTCTTACTCACATGCACAAACGGCACAAACATGCACCGTCACCTCAGCAGAGCATGACCCCCTAAGCCCAGCTGTTGGATGCAGAGACATGTTGGAGAAATCTTACCCAATCTGTCCAGACCCCCTGCAGAGACAGTTTTAGCAGACAGATGGTCATGTTTTTGGCCCCTTGGCTCCAAGTCAGGCCCGCTAAAGGGCTGTGGGACCCTTAATTCACCCCTCATGCCCCCTCGATGTCAGCTATCAGTACGAGACTCAGAGAGCACATTAATCATGCAGAAAAGGACCCAAATTCTGGCAAACATCCCGACAGAAGAGAAGATGGACCTTATTAATCCCCCGAGGGGGAAATTCAGTTTCCACTCTGTCGTACACACACATGCGTTTTTATACAGGTCATACAGTACACACTTTTTAGAACATGCACATACATATACAAATACAGACACACATATGCACATGCAGTTGAGAGGTCAGTGCGGAGGCAGCCAGTCTAGCCGGCCCCAGTGAGCAGTTAGGTGCCTTGCTCAAGGGCACTTCCTCTCTGGTGATAAACATGATGCTAACCATCCTCCATGCTCTTCAGTGCGTGGCTGTTATGTTCTCTCACCCTCCCTTTGATCCCCTTAAGATTATTTTTAGGTTGCTTAGCAACATCTTCACAGACGTCTTTGCCGATTGGACTGGGTATGAACGTATCACAACAATCACTGTAAGTCAATAACTGCATTAAGATGTAATGAAGACTAGCATTTACCACTTGGCAAAGACGGCAACATGTATCCGCCATCTGAAGTGAATTACCGTGTACTGATATGGATTGATTTTTGCTCCAATTATGTTTCAGAATATTCTTCAGTACATTTTCAATTTAAAATGTTATTTTCCTGATTTCTTTTTCTTTCTTTTTTTTGCTGAAAGGCAAGATGCAATATGCCTGCTCTCCCCCATGAAAGTGGCTGTGGCTAAACAGGGACAAACTGTAGCTCATAAGTCTGTGTTTGTAGTGTAGCAGATATATAAACCCAATGACACTCTTTCATATTATATTTGACTCTCTAAATTCAAGATGTTGGGACGGAAAATGTAAGGGTCATAAGTACAAGTGAAAAACAGTTACCTACTACAAATATGCAGCGTTCATTGAGTTTATTATGGATTACAATTATTACATAAAAATGTTAATCGCATATTTTGGCAGATTATTTGACTGCACATGTTTATAAATAAGATTTATTTTAAGGGATTTGAGAAGGCAACAAAAAAGTCACAAATGTGTAATATAAATGTATGCAGCATATGCACACTTTAATCAACTGAATCGCACTTTGATCGAAAAATGTAATTTTTAACGTTACTTGTCATGTGTTGTTTCAAAATATGCAAGAATGCAGCATTCTTAATAAATTATAATCAATTGTATAACTTAGTGCTGAAAAATCACACATTTGGTTGTTGACAGCTTTCTTTATTATAAGGATTTCTCCATAGACTGTATAAAAGATGTATCACATGAATTCAGTCTCGTGCTTATGGCGGTTTCTGTTGACTCTTGTGCTACCAAGCTAGACTTCTTAAGCTCTGATCTTCATTAAAAGACTGCTAAAATATTAATGTAAACAGCTTCATTACAGGAAAGTGACTGCACACTTTAGAACCCAAAGCATCTTCTGATATGTATATCTTAAAAAATAACTTTAGCTGGCTCTACCCCCCTTTAAACTCTCCTTTAAACCCTGGTGGTCCACATTTTTGAAACACCATAATTTGAACACCATGACCCCATGTTCCCCACCCAAACTCCATTGATGAACAGTGAGGCAGCATGAAGAGTAAAGTTACAGTGTTGCTGTGTGCTGGTATTTATGCAGACTGCAGCTCACTGTAACCCCCTCCGCGCGGCAGATTATCGGACCAAACCATTGCAGCAGTTCAGGTTTAAGCACCTGTCACATGAGGCTTTACCTTTGCAAATCACCGTCTACCGTAGAGCTAAGTATGTTTACTTTTCTACACTGCAGGCGTATATCGGACCAGCCCTTGCAGACCCTGCCACAGTGCAGATTTCCGTGAGACGAGCTGCCAAATCTCATCGCCACCCCTACAGAGCAACTGGCAGCATCGCCCACTGCCTGCAATGGCGTTGTAGCGGCTGTAGTGTGTCCAAACCTTTCTGTAGTGGCAAATCCATATCGGACAATTTACGAGCGTGGGAGAGATATGTTTTTATCGGAAGGTTTTGCAACAACAGCATCCATTTTCCCAACGAGTTTAGCCTCTGGATTACAGTTTGTTTGTATCAAGCGTCAAACGAAGCCGGAGCCATAAATGTAAGTCTGACTCTTTTGTTTTTGTAACATTGAAGCACCACCGCTGTGGTTTGCGGTTAACAGTTCACTTAGTGTTTTGGTAATCACAGAGAAGGGTTAGGCATTTGTATTTTTACCCATGCATGCATACATGCACAGGGGGGGGGGGGGGGGAAATGTGCATGGATACATGTTTAACTGTCAGAAACCTGAGCTGTCATGTTGTGCGCGGTGTGGGTGATGAGCGGCTGGCTGTTTGTCTGATCCCTCTGACACAATGTTAAAGCCTCGATTCCATCTTTCATCTCTAACTTTATTTATCTCCGTGCGATATACTCCAGCACAGGATGTTACTCAAGTTTAAATGGTTATTTATTGCACAGGGATTTTACATAGGTGTTATCGTTGACCAGCAAGGGTCCAGCAATGTGGATAATGAATATTGAACCGGGACATTAGGCTTCAGTCACTGCTGCTGCATTCATACCATTCAGCACTACTGAGATTAATGGATACTCTGTGTCCCAGATGATCTTTTGTGCCACATTTTTATCATCCTCTTGGTATATGTATAGGTATGGTATGCATTTTCAAACATGATTAAAGATTTAGTAGCTGTAGGTATAGAATATTTAACTACTATACTAGCCCACTACTAATGCAATACTATTGTAATGATGGGTGAACTGCAAATCTCTCAGTTCATGAAATGTTTTCTTTTTTTACCAATCAACACACTTATGTTGCATTCAACAACATTTTCTCTTTGCAGTAAAGGTTTAAACTACCATGCGATGCTTTTGTGTGAGGGATGGTATTTAGCAAGAAGCAGCATAATGTCAGTAATGGTGTAGAGAGCTGTGGGATATCTCAGCGTAAAAGGGTCACAGCTTACTATGGGAAACACAGAGAGAGAGAGAGAAAACAACAATATTTCCTGCAGCATAGCACCAGTTTAAACATGAAGTGCTCAAACACTGAGGTCTACAGTACTTATTGATTTGAGAAGGTAAACAGTGCAGCATTTCTGAAAAGACAACATAATCAGAGGGCTTTTAGAGTCTCGTAGTATTTCACAACTAGTCTACTTCTACTAAGAGCTTTTATAAATCAAACCCATCAGCCCTCTGCCTCCCATGTTTATAAATAGTGTTATTGATGTAATGTGAAAATTATCTCTTTTAAGCTTTGTAATCATAATTTTGATGAGAACTTTAAGTGTATTTGCCATTACTGTGTGGATGTTTAAAACGTATCTTTTTATCTTTATAACTTCTCTTTTTATCTCTGCAGGTGTGAATGGGCCTAAATACGATAATATCAAGTGGATCTGATTAGGCGGCACAGCGGTAGTTCAAATTAGACTCCTCACTTCCAGATTGTAATGAGGCCACGGCGATGCTGACACCCCCTCTGAATCCAAAGACATCATCATGCTGAAGACGGAGGCCTCGGGGGAGAGGACCTGCCTCCGGAGTGCCTCCCCCCACCGAAATGCCTACCGAGCTGAGTTTCAGGCACTCAAGAAGTCCTTCGATCAGCCTCGGGTAGAAAGAAACTCCAAGCCCAAAGACCAAGAACGGGTGAAACAGCCAAGGGGCCGGCAGTATGGCGGCCATGTCAGTCGCATTAAGGACATGTTCATGCAAATGGGCACAGATGTACCAGCCAAGGCTAGTGATGATTTATCACCTCAAAAGATGGTCAAGCCCACCAACTTCATCAACAAGGCCGATGGATCAGTCATAAAACTCCAGCATTCCTTATCAGCTGACAAGGTTGGAGTTTCTGGAGCCAAGTTCTCCGAAACCAGGAAGCTGTTTGAGCAGCAGTCACGGGACCAGTCCCAATCCCCAGTCTTTGCATCGGGACGTGATAAACGAGGTTCCCATGAGCACCTGGATGACTGGCGAGGTTCCAGGTCTAATCGAGGCAGCACAGACTCCTTGGACTCACTTTGCTCCAGAACAGAGGCGTCCTCGCCAACTGTCAGTCAACTGAGTGCTGTTTTTGAAAATGCTGACCAACACAACCATGGTTCGCACCACAAAGGAGTCAGCAGACGGGCCCTCTACTCGCCAGACAATTTCAACCGCCATGGAGGTGATGTCAGTGAAGATGATTCAAGACAATCTCCAGTACATGGAAGCTACCGGAGCAGGACAGGGGGAACGTTTCCTTCATCCCTGTCCGCTGATGACATCCTCAGCCCCAGTCCTGCAACAGAGACTTCAGTGTTGAAACCAGAACCACATGAGGAAAAAGTCCAGGACAAAGCAGACAAGTCTGAGACTACCAACGGAGGCAGACAGCGTCTTTCAGGGGTCACCACCAATGGAAGCCAGGCCAATGGTTCATGCGAAGAAGAGGAGACACCTTTAGAAAAAATAAAATATACTGATGACTTCGGGGAGTCCAACACTTCAAAACCTACAGACAATGCCGTGATTACTGAAAAAGGTACTGAAGATGCTTCCCCTGAGCCATTGCCAACCCCAAATACAGCTGCTGGGGAAAGCCAGGAGGATGGGGATGGTTCAAGAGAAGAAAAACCCTCTGAATCTCCCAAGGACCAGGTGGAAGACCCCGATGAGGAATACGTTGGGAATGAGCGGGTGATTTTTAACGCAGACGGGGATGCCTGTTACCAGGGCTGGGGGGAAAGCTGCACTGATCCTGAGGATGACCTCTACGGAGACGATGAGGATATTGTCTACGACCCGGGATGTGATCTGACGGAGATTCCCGGTCTACCACATGAAAACAAAGACGACATCCCTCAGAAGAGGAAGATTGGTTTCAGCACTGCCCCCATTATAGTAAGTTGGTACTGAGCAAAACTCTTGTGGAAGCGCTAATTGTGTGAATACACTGAACACAATCCAGCATAAAAGCCCTTGTGCAGCTCTTATCAAAAGTAGGTTAAAACAACAAAGAGCTTATATTGTATTCAGAGCTTCATTTTATGGGCTTGTATTTATAGTTACCGTTGAACTACTCATTGTGGTTGGCTTTGTGTTTTCACATAATGTTTATGAGTTTATATGATCATGATAAAATTATCTGACATCAGTAATCTTTATCCTCATAAGTCGTTATGTAGTAGTTTAATTTCCCGTTTCCTTTCTTTTAATACGGTATCTGGTATTGAAGATAAAATGGCAAATTGTTGAAGCTGTTTTGTGATGCAGAGCTTGAGGGTCAAAGCATCGCCTTCTGGGAAATAGACGTGCTCATGAGTTGAACATCTGTGCATGTGTTAGTCATGCTGGTCCTGCACCCACACGGTTTTCACACGTGATACTGTGTTTGTTTTTCTCAAACAGTCCCAACTCTTTTAAATGAGAAAGCCATTTACCCAGCTATATTTTGTACACAGAATATAGTCCTAGTCTCTGTACGTTTGTGTTGACCATGTAACCTTGCTGTGTCCGTTATGCTCAGTGATAGCAGTAGATTAATCACAAGAGATTACATGCATTTCTACCAAGCATCCCACAGGGATTTAAAATGGTCTGTGAAAGTCATAATTACACCACAATAAGGTTTTGCTTGTGAAAAAGAAGAAATTGTATCCGGTGGAAATGTAGCCATAGTGCCCAGTTCCCCTATTATTTGCTTTCCCTGGTCACTTGTTTTTATTAGTAAAATTAGCTTTCCAGTAGTTATTGTTGCATCATCTGAAAATTATTGTTTTATACTGTTTTCTGAGCTGATTTGGACACAATGCAGCCAGTGTTTTTAGATTGGGAAAATAGATTTGGAAGATTATGGGAATAGTTTTCAGTCTTTATCCCCAAGCATTTAGAATCAATAAGCTTAACATTTCCAGTAGTAAACAACATGCTTTTGTTTGCCCTTTTCCTTTTTATCAAGTTTTTTGTCAGTGAAATCTATTTTTATCTTTTAAGATTGTTAGCCTGCAAGTGTGTGAGGACATGTACAATTTGAGGGCATAACATTTTACATGATCATTGATAGAGTGATATTTGTGTAAGAGAGATTTGAGTTAACACAAACAAAATCCTATTAACATGCTGTAATGAACCAGAACAATTAGCCCAGTTATTGTGAGGAAAACACATGATGTCGGCTCCTGCACCATCTCTGCAGTGTGTGTCCTTTTGCATCTTTCTTTTCCCTCCCTCTAAGGTCTCACTGCAACTTCATGAAAACACACTCAAACAACACACTCAATTAAAAGTAAACACTTTCACAAGGATATTTGTTCTAGGGCTGGGCAATGTGGAGAAGATCAAAAGCACAATCTCTCTGATCAAATACCCCAATATCAATTTGCAACGATATTATAACTTTTGGTGCTTTGAACAAATATTTACAAAATGATTCAGTAATGTGGGTATATTGGCTAGGTGGGAAAAGCAGAACATTTAACAACAGAACCGTTGGGCAAGCTCTGAGAAATGACATAATTGTACTATAATGCAGCCACTAAACCAGCAAAAGACACTTACAATATATACAATAAGACAGTATGGTGTCTTGCATCAAAAATATTGATTACTTATTGTCTATTCATAATTTGTTTTGAATTATCTTGCTTAAACATCAAATATAATATAAATGTATGTTTTTGTTATTATATTTTGCAAATAACAATAATACAAGATCAGTGTTTGATCATTAGAAAAATAGCTTTTCTTATGATCAATTAATATTTTCATCATTCAGTGAAAGTGAGAGAACGAACAGCTTGGTCTACCAGGCGGGGGAAATGCTCCTCTGTTGTTGTCTGTCATTCAAGGCTTCTGTTTTGTATGCGAAGGGCAGACGCTTGTTCATCATATGGAATATTCAAGAGATGCCCTGCCCCCCTTTCACAGATGCACACGCACAATTAGACATGGACCCCTCCCACTGCTCCATCATACGCCCCCCTCCTCTCAGCACATGAGGAACAATCAGGGTGCTGTCTTTTGTTCGTCTATATAGTGAAAGAGACAAAGCTATTTTCTCAGCCCTAGGCCTCACACGAGTCCAGCTTGACCCCTGTGGGAGGAGACAGAGAAAAACTAGAAAAAAACTGCCGTGTTATTATCTAATACCTCATGTTCCCTCCCCTTCAAGGCATATTTCTTGTTGCTGCTCTTTAAGCAGATAAATAATCTCAACATGTCAGCTTTTAGAGCTTAATTAATTTTGGAATTATCATCATGGCGGTGCAGCAAGAACATGACACACAACCAGCTTTTAGTTACATTTTGTAAATATGCACACTGACTTAGATTTAGAAGACGAATCAAATGTTAATGTGTTGACTTCAAACCAAATTGAGGTTATTAATCTTGTTTTTAGTCATGCTAGCTGCATGTGTCTCTGGATGGCAAAACCATGCTAATGTCTGGCGGTCCAGCACATAATATGTCTCAACAACGATTGTAATTGTTTTGGTCTTAAGAGGATGAATCCTACTCACTGTTGATCCTTTGGCATAGCGACACCATGAAGTTGATGTTTCCTTTTGGCTTTAAGTTATACTTTGTATAGATTGCTATGACATTTAGTTTAGATATGTATACCAAACCAAAGATGAACTGAACATTCAGCTCAATCTGTAGGCTAGCTTATATTATTGCTAACATGCTAAACTAAGATGGTAAACATCATTATACATTACAATATTGTCATTGTTAGCATGTTAGCAGTTAGCTCAATGTTCTGCTGTGCCTGCAGTATTTGTATTGACTCACTCCGCAACCTTGGCTGTATACTCTTGTAAATACACATACCAGATATTTCCAAATGTTTTATATGAATGATTACTACCACATCCTTTAACTGAGCTGTAACATCCTAACTGACCCAGTGAGAAGTTAGAGCTTTGAGCTGCCTGAGGCGAAGGCAGCCTGCTCTCCCTAAAGGCATTGACCTACAGAATGGAATCAGATCTCGTGTTCATTCAAGCAACCGGTTTTATCCCTGACATCAGAAACTCTTCCTTTGGTTCTTCAGTCTGGGGCACATATATTGATGTATTGGAGTAGATTCAACCTTCTATCCCACTTTTTTCATGCTGTAAAATCATTTTATAAGCAGCTGACTTTAAGAACACAATGTTTGATCTGAAGATATGTCACACATCTGAATTCAGTTCACCTGTGTGGTTGTATCAAAGTAAAAAATCTTCAGATCACAAAATAATCCCAAAAGCTTCTCTCCATCCTACACTTGTTGCAGATTTCTTTGCATGCAGTGCGTTTCCTTTCACTCTTTGTTGAACTGCACTCCACAAGTTTGACAGAAGAAAAAGTCTTCTCCCTCTGCAAGCCGTCTGTTTTGTCTGTCTCTTCTTGTTTTCCTCTCTCCTCTGTACGTGATTCGCATTTAAATCATCTTTCTTGCCTTTTGTGCCTTAAAAGCAACTGCATTTTTATCAGTGAGGACACTGTGATATCTTAATGGAGTTAAGCAGATGTGATGAGCGGAGCACCAGTTCACAGGTCACTGAAGTACCTGTGTTATCAGCCCCTCCACTTAGCATGCTGTTACTGTATCAAAGAGACTGGCGTTTTGTCCATTAGATTCTACTGCTGCAACGCTGAGGAGCATGGATCTGAGCTCAGAGATCGAAATGATAGATTTGTGTCGCTGGCCTTTTCTGCGGCAAAGATTTTGAAAAGGTTGTTTCTCTGCGATGTGACGTCTGTCTTTTAAATACTTTTTTGTATAGTATCTTTTAATAATAATTCCTTACATTTATTATAGCGCTTTTCCAGATGCTCAAAGCGCTTTACAAATACACATTACACATATTTTTTATACATGCAATGGTCACTGTGGACAATACCCACAGGAGCAAGTTCAGGTGAAGTGTCTTGCCCAAGGACACAACGGCTTTACAGACGCAGCAGCGGCGGGTTTCACCCCTTGATCTGATGATCATTGCACATCGCACTGCGCCACACCGTCCATCTTCACGCCTCGAAGTCATCGAGGCACTTTTACAGGTACACATTGATATTATACATGGACATTACCCACAGGAGCAAATCCGGGTGAAGTGTCTTGCCCAAGGACACAACGGCCTGACGCAGTGGCGGCAGGAGCGGGTTTCGAACTGGAGTTCCCCAGCACCCCCTTGATCTGATGATCGGATGCACAGACCACTGCGCCACCCGTCCCATAAGAGTATCTTGAAGGTCAGTTAGATAACTAATTTGCCTCAGATGATGGGCGAGGACCAAAATGGTGGCCCACCTACCACAGTCAGAAGGTAATTGCCACTTTCGTATTGTGGATATATTGCTGAGCAGGCCTGCAGGTTACAGACCAATTGGCATCTTGGCTGGAGCCTTTTTATTAAGTTGTTTATTAAATATCATATTTGAATGTCAATCATATGAGCACAGAGACATGTTTGTGTCCACGGGAGTCGGGACCATTGTCTTATAATCTCCAAATGGCTATATGCTATTTGCAGTTCTAAAAGGCAGCTATTTATTAATATTGTTTCATATTAGAATATTTATTTATATTAGAATAGAAATATTATTTCACATTTATTCGCAGTGATTACTTTACTCTGCCCCAGTCTGGCACTGTCTTCTGTCCTCATGCTTGCAGATTAGATCCTGCTACTATTACTTTGTTAGACAACCTTCACATAATTCATTGTATACTTTTTGTTAACATTTGCTGCAGTACATCAAACCAAATTCAGTCTCATCTTGTACTTTGCTGGAGCATGAAAGAACATAAAGACAAAGTCGCTAATGGCTAAAAACTGAGAGTATGCCAACTAGCTCAGTCCCGGTTTTGAATATTTCGAGCTCATTTCACTGCCCCTAATACAGCACAT